AAATAATGACATTTATTGATGCAAAAATAATTAATAATCTTAATTTTGCAGCAAGTTTTGGTATTCTGTGAGCAAATTCATTAGTATTTTGATAAAAAAATCTTTCTCAAAAAGTGCCAAAATCGGGAAAATTCGGGAAAATCGGGAATTCCCGAAAAATAGAGACTCTACAAATAACTTATAATACAATTAATTTGAAAGAAATCTGTAATAAGTCAAGTAATGGTAAGAATAAAATCAATTCATTTAAAATTATAATCAGTTTATATTGCATTTATGTCACAAATAGACAAACGGCAGACACTCTCTACTATTGAAACACAACACAAACACTCAAATCCCAATATAATGAATACAGATAATACAGACCACCATGCTACTTTATGTGATGGTAATTATAACTCACAATTTACAGAGATGTCAGCCATAGGTTTGGGTGGTTTTGGGATTGTATTTAAAGTAAAGCATAGATTAAATGACAAGATATATGCCATCAAAAGAGTACAATTTGGGGGTAAATTCAATAGATATTTTGTTTTTAAATTCATTTATAAAATATTTTCACAGATTTTAGTGAAGAAAAGAAACAAAACATTTTGAAAGAAGTAAAAAGTTTAGCAAAACTGGACTCAGATTTTGTGGTAAAGTATTATCACTCATGGCTTGAGTCCAATCATCTCTTCATTCAAATGGAGTTCTGTTTACAAAGTCTTAAATCTGTTCTTAAAGACAAACCCATTGTCTTCGAGAGACAACCGGAAGAAGAGATTAATAGTGTTTTTGAATACTTTATTTCATGTGAAATATTTAGAGAAATCTTAGAATGTGTTGAATATCTTCATGAATCAAATCCAGTGGTCATTCATCGGGATCTCAAACCCGACAATATATTACTTGATCCCAAATTTACGTGGAGAATGTTACGTCTTAAATGGAGAAAAAGACCCGAATGTAGGGAAGTGTTGGCCAAACATAACGAGTGGTCCAATGATAGGACTCTTATCACTCAACACAAGAAGTTTAATGAAGTGTTAACTAAACTTAAACTTAATAATAACTTAAAAGGAATTAATCTATTTAACAAATGGCCTAGCCCATTCTGATTGGTATGGACATGTTCAGTACCAAACTCTGATTTAGAACCCAGTTGTACGTTTCACATACACTGTACACATACATACTATAAACACATATTCGTACTCGTACACACATACTCGTACACACATATTCGAGGGACAGTCTGCCCCTATGTATACATTTTTATGTATGTGTACAGTGTATGTGAAACGTACAACTGGGTTCTAAATCAGAGTTTGTTCAGTACGGTTCATAGATTAATTTTCAGTTGAAATAATCTGCCAATGGCCACAAATGACCTAATTATGGACAAAATTCGAAATTAATACATAGCATTAAACGTTAAAAACATTAAAACGTTGTGATAAATGGTGATTCACACATAGCACAGGGCCATTCACCACAAGTCTATACATTAGACGTTATGTATTTATTTCGAATTTTGTCCATAATTCGGTCATTTGTGGCCATTGGCAGATTATTTCAACTGAAAATTAATCTATAAACCGTACTGAACATGTCCATACCAATCAGAATGGGCTAGGCCATTTGTTAAATAGATTAATTTTTAGTTTTCTATGAGATATTGTTTCGCAAAACAAGATAATAATGTATTTTCTTAATATATATGATTTAATTAGAAATAAAGTGTTTATAATTGTAACTCAGGATTAGTTGAGGTCTTTAATTGTTTGGATTAATGAATGAAAATATTTTAATATTAATATTGGTTGACAACTACTTTGCCCTACAGTTAGCTCTCGAGACACTCGATAACAACACTAATACAAGTCACTAAAATGATTAGTGAAATGAGTATTAATTACACCAATAAATACACAATAGTTGCGTATCAGTCAGTCACGTGTGGGCCGAAGTCTGACCGCCGGTCAACTCTCTCGGTATGGCTTTTGTAGTGTTTTTCGCACTTTTATTGGCTTTCAATGTGTTTTGTGTTTTACAGCCGAACAGCGCCTGACGTTTGCGAAGAGGTTTCCGAAGAACCGCTGGAATGAAGCGAAGGACTACTTCGAGGCCCAGACAGAGGCCGACCCATAGGTGTCGGTGCCGTACAGACCGTACAGACTGTTGGTTTGGCCGCTGTTTTACAGCTACCGGTGCTTAAGAAAGTCATTTCTATTTCTAAGAGATTACGTGTAAATACTATATTATTGGGCACTCAATTAACATTTTAAATAAATTTATAATTGGTTTTTGTATTGAATTAATGTTTAATTAAAAATTAATTTAATTTTTCATTAAATTAATAATGAAATACTTGTTTTATATTTGAATGATTGCTAATCGGATAACAGAAACACTCAGGGATGGCATGTATTGTGAACTACTGTCTAACCTTTAGTTATTATCATATATTGTATGAAATACTTTAGTTATCAAATCTTTATCTCCAATACTTTTCACTGATTATAGCAATAAAACTATTTATTTCTTTGTTATAAATTATAATATATTTAATATTTTTTATAATTATGTTTTGTAATTGTATTTAAATATTTGTTAAAATGTGTGAATTTATAGACAAGTTTTCAGTTTGTCATAAAATCCCGATAAATATTAAACAAAATATTACAAAAATACATGTTTTTAAAGATTGGAGTAATGGATATAATGTATTATTTGTGACAAACAATGATATGGTCTATGGTTTGGGGAATAACAGCTATGGATGTCTGGGTTTGGGACACAACAGTCCTATACTATCACCAGAAATAATACCACAACTATGTAATCAAAACATACAATACTTTATCAATGGAAGTGATTTTGTGCTAGCAGTAAATGATGTGAATATAATATATGGATTTGGATATAATGATCATGGTCAATTGGCGAAGAATGTAATGACACATAATGACATACATAAGTTTTATTATAAACCGGAGATTATATCATATTTTAATAATCAAAACATTCAACAAATCAGTTGTGGTTCTCATCACACTCTGGCCCTCACAAGTGATGGTCGGGTCTATGCCTGGGGTGACAACAATTGCGGACAAATTGGTTGTGGAAATTGTGAACATATTTATACACCGATTGAAATACAATTCAATAATAATTATAAAATACAATCCATTTATTGCTGTCATTACTCTTCATTTGCCATCACATGTGATGGACATGTCTTCAGTTGGGGTAGTAATAGATTTCATGTCTTGGGACACAATATAACTGATGATGAAATATTAAAACCCCGATTCATATCAAACATCAAAAATGTGAAAACAATTAGTTGTCGTTCTTTTGAGACATATTTTCTGACAACAAATGGTTTATATATTTGTGGAGAATATTTTGAAAACTATAAATCAATGATTGAAAAAACTTTAAAACAAATACTATCTGAACATCACTTCCAAAATATACCACAAAATTATTCATGGATTTATATGGATTACAATGATTTCATTTGTGTTTTAATAAACGATAAAATATATAAAATATCAAAAGAACACGAAATAATTGAAACAAATTATAACGATTTTATTGACTTTTACGCCAATGAATACAAAATAACATATAATACAATTTTTTGTGGAACGGAAAGGGGGCGTGAGTTGGGATCAGTTGATCATATGAAGCATGAATTAGACATAAAAGACATAATAAATTTTAAGTCAAGTGATGGTAAGAATTATAATTATTTCTTTTCGAGACTTATATAGGGTGTTTTTTATTGGACTACAACATTATAAAGTCGAATATCTCAAAAGGTATTTGGCCTAGAAATTCAAATGATATATCAAAATACTCATCAACTGCGGGAGTTTTTGTTATGATATGGTCAACATGCTAAACCTCCTATTCTAATAATAATCTCCAATCAAGCAAAATTTTATCATTTTTTCCATAGACATAATGTTAAATTCAAACTTATTTTTGAACAAATTCCTGAAATTGGTATCAAGTTATTTTTGCTTCTGTTTAAGATTATGTAATCAAAATTCTTGTACTGTGTGTAGTTTTTGTATTATAGAAGATTCTTTACAAAAGTTGTGTATTTTGAGATCATATAAATGCGAAATATTAACAAATCATTAATAAATTAAAAACTACATAGAGCACAAGAATTTTGATTACATATTCTTAACCTAGAGCAGGAAAGCTCAAAGACATATTTTTGGTCAACGTAGATGTTGTACAATCATTTTATTCTGATATATAAATGTATTAGGGAATATCATGTCGTACATAAATGATAATACAGATTTGCCCGAATATTTGCCCGAGTGGTCTTTACTGACCTAGAGCAAAATAACTTGATACCAATTTCAGGAATTTGTTCAAAAATAAGTTTGAATTTAACATTATGTCTATGGAAAAATGATAAAATTTTGCTTGATTGGAGATTATTACTAGAATAGGAGGTCTAGCATGTTGACCATATCATAACAAAAACTCCCGCAGTTGATGAGTATTTTGATATATTATTTGAATTTCTAGACCGAATGCCCTTCGAGATATTCGACTTTATAATGTTGTAGTCCAATAAAAAACACCCTGTATATTATATAATTTATAAAACATTTGTTTTACCAGAACTACAGTCAAGTCCCGTTTTAACGGACAAAACCATTAATTCATTTGACAGTATTTTATATGCAATTCTGAAAAAAAAAGTTTTAACTAAAATATTTTACAGTTGATAACAATGAACGAGATAAACTATTTTACCATGCTCAATTTGAAAACTTAGAAGAGATCGGTAGGGGTGGGTTCGGCACCGTATATAAAGTGGTTCATAAATTAGAGGATGAAGTGTACGCTATAAAAGTAATAAACTTTCAAGGTTGTGTTTTGGCACAATAAATTTATTTATAATTTAATTAAGTTTTGATTTAAAAATGCAGAAACTAGTGATGAACGCAAACGTGTATTAACTCGTGTAAAAGGTTTGGCAAAAATTCAATCACAATTTTGGGGTAATTTTAATGACTATTTAAGTCTTAAAATATATTTATTTTAAACTATTTAAACAAATATTTTATTAAATATTTTTACAGATTTTAGTGAAAAAAAGAAACAAAAAATACTGAAAGAAGTGAAAAGTTTAGCAAAACTGGACTCAAATTTTGTGGTTAAATATTACAACTCATGGCTTGAGTCCAATCATCTCTTCATTCAAATGGAGTTCTGTTCACAAAATCTCAAATCTGTTCTCAAAGACAAACCCATTGTCTTCGAGAGACAACCAGAAGAAGAGATTATTAATGTCTTTGAGTTTTTCATTTAATGTGAAATATTTAAAGAAATCTTAGAATGTGTTGAATATCTCCATTCATGTGATCCGCCAGTCATTCATCGGGATCTCAAACCCGACAACATATTAATTAACGCCAATATTAAGTGCAATCGATTCATAAAACTTTGTGACTTTGGTTTGGCTACAGTTCACAACACCGACGGACACATTAACAGCCGGTATGAGCACACGTCAGGTGTGGGCACAATCAAGTATATGTCACCCGAAATCTACCAGGGTAAAAGGTATAATCACAAAACAGACATTTATAGCCTCTCTTTGATCGGCGAACGTGTGTTTGCTATCGATCTTCAGGCGTAAGTATTTGTTAAAGTTTTAAATACAATATTTATAAATTACTTGTAATTTGTTTACATATTATCTATTAATTTAAAGCTCGCAATCATTTAAAGCCAAAGAATCAGTATTTAAGACATCAATACTATGTCTATACCAGACATTAGTGGCAATGATGTCAACACCCAATTGGAGACACAGACCTGAGTGTCGGCAAGTGTTGGCCAAATCTAATGACTGGTCTATTGATAGGACTCTTGTTAAGAATCACAAGAATTTTAAATCAGTTTTAGAATCACTTAAATCTAAAGAAAATACATTTTTCTATTACTTTTTAATGTGTAGATTAAATAATACGGATGTGTCGGCAGTTGTGTCACATCGAGCACATCGTCCACTCCTTGACAACAATATTTTTCCCAATTATTCCCATTTATATGTAATTATATTGTGTATTATTATTGCAATTATAATTAATTTTTTTGTATGGATTTGGTCATATTTTAGTCCTCCAGAGATTTAATCTAAAATATTAATTAAATTCTTTTCAAACAATTTATTATAATTAAAATAAATAAAAATGTGTAAAAACATAATTGTTAGATAGAATTATTGGTAATTATGTGTTGTATAATTTATATTATAAAAGCATTTTAAAATTTAAAATTTATTTATACTGTAATAACAATATAATATTTATAACTAAGGTTCATAGTTTCCCTCCCATATCTTATATCTTCCCGGAAAATTAAGAATCTTCCTTAAAAATGGAAAAATAAGACAAATTGTGGTAAATTGACGATAAATCGAGATATATGTATAACTTTTATTGGCCTAAAAGATAGATTTTAACATGCTTAAGCATTGTATAATTAAATAAATTGTTAAAAACTATTGATGAATTTAATATAATTTAATTAAGAATTTATATTTTCCCAAAAAAGTGGTTCAATGGTATTCAATGGCAATGATATGTTGTATGACTGCCAATGCCTGTACCAGTGTTCGTGCCTCACAACAAACAATTAAATAATACGCGATTTGATTTAATAAATCGAAATTTTTATAAAATTTTTGTGTAATTGCGGCAATTTTTCAAGTTTTTAAAAAGATATTTTCCCTTAAGAATTTTAGTTCCCATGCCATTTATATCTTCCGGTATTTTCCCATTTTTGGGAGGAAAAATAAGGGAAAATATATATCTTCCCTCCCGTAATGAATCTTATTTATAACAAAAAATCATTATATAATAGTAAATAATTAGAATAATAGTATAAATATTTACTTAATTATAATTATTTAAAACAGAAAAAAACTTTTATTTTAAAATTCAATTTTGTAAAATGACATAAATAATACAAATAACCAATTATTCCAATTATCCATAATTATTTTACTTTATAAAACTTAACTTGATTAAAAAATAATCTATTTATTAGACTTTTTTATAACAACTAATTAATTAGATTTATTTAAATCAAAAACTATTAATCGTTAAATTGTGTGAAAACTACTGTATACAGGAGATAGTTATATACCTTGTATAAAATTAACTAATGATTGCACTGCAGCAATATGCGGCGTGATAGGTGGTGTGGTTGTATATTTATTTATTAACTTTAATTAGCTAACAGAAATAATTAATAAGATTACAGAAACTTTTATTTTAAATTTTAATACATAATATAATTGTTACAAATTATTTAATTATTTTAATTATACATATAAAGTATATTTATGTATAGTGTATTGCTTTATAAACTTGATTAAATGATAATCTATTTATTAGATATTATTAATAACAATTAGTTAATTATATTTACGTAAATCAAAAATTACTTATCGTTAAATTTAATAATGCTAAAAATAACATAATTATAATCATGCTTATTTATTCAGTTTATTAAGGATTACAACTATCCTCACAACAAATACCTATGGTTTCTGGACCAAGACCAATGCAAACACCTCTACGAATTCTGTCCAAGCTGTTTCCTATTATTTTGTTATAGAATATTTTTGTTAAGTCTACAAGTAATCAATTTTTATATACCTTGTACAGAATTTATT